AAGTGCTTGGGCAAAAAAAATCCTACCTAATGGAGAAACAGTTGGGGAGGTAACAAAACCCTATAAAAAGTGGGATTTGTGCTTGTGGAAATTATCGAGTAATCGGAGATAAAAAAGACCAACCTCAATTTTGTGAACAATGCGGAGTAGAATTTGTTGATTCTCGGATACGTAGATATCAAATGGGGTATATCAAATTAGCATGTCCAGTAACCCATGCGTGGTATTTGAAAAGTCTTCATAGTTATATCGCGAGCCTTTTAGATAAACCTCTTAAAGAATTAGAGGGTCTAGTATACTGCGATGTGTGATTTGATAAAAATTCTTATTGTACAGATTTCGAATGAAAAACTGTCATTCCATTCAATTAAATTGGAATGTCCTATATCTGACATGTCTCTTGGGATGAGTAACATGAAGCTCAGAATTCAATTCATGGGTGTATTGAATACTCCCAATAAGGGAGTGGGTCTATGGTCAATTCAGTAACAAAAACTCTTTATACTGTATGTACCTTGTGAAAAAAAAACTTTTTTGTGGAATTCATTATTCCATCTCTTTTTTTTTATATTTTAAAAGAACTAAAATTATGTTCAAAGAATAAAATATATCATGATTGCAGAAGTTTATCTATCACATATAGGCTTTAAGACATCGTGGCATACCCGTCGAGGTGACGTCTTGACCTAAAAGATCAAACGGTATGATACAGAGGCAAAGAAATCTCTTATGAAGTCGAAGATATTCCTTTTTTATTAAGAATTTCATTTTAGAGGATTCCTCGTTCGAAGAGAGGTAGACTACTCAAGAATTTTACATTTTATTTCTGTCGGAATTTCGAATTGCATAAAAAATTTAGAAAAAACGAAGAATGTATCAATGAAATGTTGCTCGGTCTTTATTGATAACTTGAGTCAAGAGTAAACCTTTTTTATGTTATATTTTAGATTAGAGGTTTTCAAAAATATGAAAGCGGAAACCCCTTTCTTTATCTTTAATTGTGTGTAAATACTTTAGCCGGATGAGAGGAAACCCTCATGTCCGATTTTCAATGGGGGAGATCCATCTTATTGGATCATATCCAAAATTTTCTTTTGCTAGGCCCGTAGTTAAAAAACCAACTTTCTTACGATTACGAGGTTCATTCGACTATGAAATCCAATCCTGGAAATACAGTCTCCCACTCTTTTTTGCTACTCAAGGTTTGGATACATTTCGAAATAGAGAAATTTCTAGTGGAGCGGGTGCTATATACGATAACAATTAGTTGATCTGGATTTAAGAATGATTATGGATTATTCGTTGCTAGAATGGACAGAATTAGGAGAAGAGGGGTCCATTGACAATGAAAATGAATGGGAAGATAAAAAAGTTGGAAGAAGAAAGAATTTTTTGGTTCGACGCATGGAATTAGCTAAGCATTTTATCCGAACAAATATAGAACCAGAATGGATGGTATTATGTCTCTTACCAGTGCTTCCTCCCAAATTGAGACCAATTATTCAAATAGATGGCGGTAAACTAATGAGTTCGGATATTAATGAACTCTATAGAAGAGTTATCTATCAGAACAATACTCTTATTGATCTATTAACAACAAGTAGATCTACACTAGAGGAATTAGTAATGTGTCAAGAAAAATTGGTACAAGAAGCCGTAGGTCCATAATTGATACACTTCTTCATAATGGAATCCACATACAACCAATGAGGGACAGTAATAATAAAGTTTACAAATCGTTTTATGATATAATTGAGGGCAAAGAGGGAAGATTTCGAGAGACTTTTCTTGGAAAACGAGTTGATTATTCGGGGCGTTCTGTAATGGTCGTAGGTCCATTACTTTCATTACATTGATGTGGATTGCCCCGCGAAATAGCAATAGAGCTATTTCAGACGTTTCTAATTCGTGGTTTAATTCAAAACCATTTTGCTTCGAACATAGGAGTTGCTAAGAGGAAAATCCGGGAAAAAGAACCCATTGTATGGGAAATACTTCAAGAAGTTATGCGGGGGCATCCAGTATTGCTGAATAGAGCGCCTACTTTTCATAGATTGGGCATACAGGCATTTCAACCCATTTTAGTCGAAGGACGTGCTATTTGTTTACATCCATTGGTGTGTAAGGGATTCAATGCAGACTTTGATGGGGATCAAATGGTTGTTCATGTGCCTTTATCTTTGGAGGCTCAAGCAGAAGCTCGTTTACTTATGTTTTCTCATACGAATCTCTTATCTCCGGCTATTGGGGATCCCATTTGTGTACTAACTCAAGATATGCTTATTGGACTTTACGTATTAACTAGCGGAAGTCGTCGAGGTATTTGTGCAAACAGGTATAATTGTTTAATTCCCAAAATTCTCACAATGAAAAAATTAGCAATAATAACTTGAAGTATATGAAAAAAAAGAACCCTTTTTTTGCAATTCCTATGATGCAATTGGAGCTTATAGACAGAAAAGAATAAATTTCCATAGTCCTTTTTGGCTCCGATGGCGAATAGATCAATGCATTATGTCTTCAAGAGAAGTTCCTATTGAAGTTCACTATGAATCTTTTGGTACCTATTATGAGATTTATAGGGATTGTTTAGTAATAAGAAGTAAAAAAAAAGAAATTCGTTGTATATACATTTGAACCACTATTGGTCATATTTCTTTTTATCGAGAAATCGAAAAAGCTATACAAGGTTTTTCTCGAGTCGATTCATATGTTATCTAATCATATAAAAGGTTAGTGTTGGTTTCCACGCTAAGTCAATTTATGATACTGGTGTAAATTCAGGTCAACTAGCATCTTTTCAATTTTCTACGTGAATAAACATAAAGAAAAGGAAGTTTTCCAATCATTAACTCAAATCCATTGTCGAACGGAATAACACTGAGTGGAATATGGATGTACTTATGGCAGAACGGGCCGATCTAGTCTTTCACAATAACGTGATAGCGAAACTACCATTAAACGACTTATTAGCAGATTAATAGATCATTTCAGAATGGCATATACATCACACATCCTAGATCAAGTAAAGACTCTAGAATTCCATCAAGCTACTGCTACATCTATTTCATTAGGAATTGATGATCTTTTAACAATACCTTCAAAAGGATGGCTAGTCCAAGATGCTGAACAACAAAGTTCCATTTTGGAAAAACATAATCATTATGGAAATGTCCATGCGGTAGAAAAATTACGCCAATCCATTGAAATATGGTATGTTACAAGCGAATATTTGCGACAATAAATGAATTCCAATTTTAGGATGACTGGCCCCTTTAATCCAGTCCATATCATGTCTTTTTCAGGAGCTAGAGGAAATGCATCTCAAGTGCACCAATTAGTCAGAATGAGAGGATTAATGTCAGATCCACAAGGACAAATGATTGATTTACCCATTCAAAGCAATTTACGTGAAGGACTGTCTTTAACAGAATATATAATTTCTTGCTATGGAGCCCGTAAAGGGGTTGTAGATACTGCTGTACGAACATCAGATGCTGGATATCTTACACGTCAACTTGTTGAAGTGGTTCAACACATTGTTTTACGACGAATAGATTGCAATACCATCCGTGGGATTTATGTAAACACCCGAAATGGAATGATACCAGAAAGAATTTTGATACAAACATTAATTGGTCGTGTAGTAGCAGACGATATATATATATATATATAGGTTCACGGTGCATTATCGTTAGAAATCAAGATATTGGAATTGGACTTATCAATTGATTCATAAATTTTCAAACACAACCAATATTTATTCGAACCCCCTTTACCTGTAGGAATACGTCTTGGATTTGCCAATTGTGTTATGGGCGGAGTCCTATTCATGGGGACCTGGTAGAATTGGGAGAAGCTATAGGGATTATTGCTGGTCAATCTATTGGAGAACCGGGAACTCAACTAACATTAAGAACTTTTCATACTGGTGGAGTATTCACAGGGGGGTACTGCTGAATATGTGCCAGCCCCCTCGAATGGAAAAATAAAATTTAATGAGGATTTAGTTCACCCTACACGGACACATCATGGATATCCTGCTTTTATATGTAATATAGACTTGTATGTAACTATTGAAAGTGACGATATTATACATAACGTCATTATTCCACCAAAAAGTTTTCTATTATTTCAAAATAATCAATATCTAAAATCAGAACAAGTGATTACGGAGATCTGCGCGGGAACATCTACTTTAAATTTGAAAGAGAGGGTTCAAAATCATATTTATTTTGACTCAGAAGGGGAAATGCATTGGAGTACCGATGTGTACCATACATCACAATTTATATATAGTAATGTACATATCTTACCAAAAACAAGTCATTTATGGATATTGTCAGGAAAGTCGTGCAGGTCTAATACAATCCATTTTTTACTTCGCAAGGATTCACTTTCTAATGGAAAAATAAATATTTCGAATCTTTTAGAAAGGAATGATCAAGTAAAACATAAATTCAATACTTTTGGTACAAAATAAAGTGGATTAGCGATTCTTCAATATTGAATCAAATCATATGTACAGATCATTCTGATTTAATGTATCCTGCTATTTTGAACGATACTTTTTATTTCTTGGCGAAAAGGCGAAGAAATAGATTTCTTATTCCATTTCCATTCCAATCGATTCAAGAACGAAAGAACGAACTAATGTCCCCTTCCAGTGTCTCCATTGAAATACCTATCAATGGTATTTTTCATGAAAATAGTCTTTTTGCTTATTTCAATTATCCTCAATACATAAGACAGAGTTCAGGAATTACTAAATATACAACTATAGGAATTCATTCTATTTTTCAAAAAGAAGATTTCAGTGAGTATCAAGGAATCGAAGAAGTAAAGCCAAAATACCAAATTCAAGTAGATAAAAAAAAATTTATTCCCGAAGAAGTGCATATTTTACCTGAATCTTCTTCCCTAATGGTACGGAATAATAGTCTTGTTGGAATAGGAACACCAATCACTTTCAATATAAGAAGTCGAGTAGGAGGATTGGCCCGATTAGAAAAGAAAAAAAAAATAGAATTAAAAATATTTTCTGGAAATATCCATTTTCCTGGAGAGATGGATAAGATATCCCGACACAGTGCCATCTTGAGACCGCCCGGAACGGTAAAAAAAAAAGCAAGGAATCAAAAAAATTTAAAAATTGGATTTATGTCTAATGGATCGCAACTACCAAGAAAAAGTATTTTGTTTTGGTTCGACCTGTAATTTTATATGAAATACCGAACAATATCAATTTTGTAAAACTTTTTCCCCAAGATCTATTCTGGGAAAAGGATAATCTGGAACTAAAATTTGTCAATTATATTCTTTATGGAAATGGAAAATCCATTTGGGGAATTTCCGACACAAGGATTCAATTAGTTCGGACTTGTTTAGTCTTCAATTGGGATCACGGGAAAAAAAGTTCTTCTATTGAGGAGGCCCCCGCTTCCTTTATTGAAGTAAGTACAAATGGTTTGATTGAGTATTTTCTAAGAATTGACTTAGTCAAATCTAATACTTCATATATTAGAAAAAGAAATGACCCGTCTGGTTTAGGATTGATCAGGGATAATCAATCAGATCGAATCAATCCATTTTTTCTATTCATTCCAAGGGAAAATTTCAACAATCACTTAGCCAAAATAACAGAACTATTCGTATGTTGTTGAATAAAAATAAAGAATGCCGGTCTTGGATAATTTTGTCATCATCTAATTGTTTTCAAATGAGACCATTCAACAATGTAAAATCTCACAATGGAATAATAAAAGATCCTATAATTTCAATTAATAATAATAATTCGTTCGGCCCTTTAGGAATAGCCCTTCAAGTTGCGAATTTTTATTCACTTTATCATTTAATAACTCATAATAAGATCTCAATCATTAAAAATTTGCAACCTGACAAATTCACTGGAATTTTTCAAGTAATTAAATGTTATTTAATGGACGAAAATGAGAAAATTTTTAAACCCGATCTATACAGTAATATTGTTTTGAATCCATTACATTTGAATTGGTTTTTTCTCCATCATTTTTATTGTGAAAAAACGTTTACAATAATAAGTCTTGGACATTTGATTTGTGAAAATACATGTATAGCTAAAATGAAAAATGGACCAAACCTAAAACTAAAATCGGGTCAAGTTATAACAGTTCAAATGGATTCTGTAATAATAAGATTGGCTAATCCTTATTTGGCGACTCCAGAAGCAACCATTCACGACCATTATGGGGAGATCCTTTCTCAAGGAGATATTTTAGTTACATTCATATATGAAAAATCGAGATCCGGTGATATAACACAAGGTCTTCCAAAAGTGGAACAAATATTAGAAATATGTTCGATTGATTCAATATCCATGAATCTAGAAAAAAGAATTGATGCTTGGAACGAGTGTATAACAAAAATTCTCGGCATGCCTTGGGGATTCTTGATTGGTGCTGAGCTAACTATAGCGCAAAGTCGTATTTCTTTGGTTAATAAAATCCAAAAGGTTTATCGATCCCAGGGAGTACATATCCATAATAGACATATCGAGATTATTGTGCATCAAATAACATCCAAAGTCTTGGTTTCAGAAGATGGAATGTCTAATGTATTTTTACCTGGCGAACTAATTGGATTATTGCGAGCAGAATGAATGGGGCGTGCCTTGGAAGGACCCATTTGTTACTGAGCTTTATTATTGGGAATAACAAAAACATCTCTGAATACTCAAAGTTTCATATCTGAAGCGAGTTTTCAAGAAACTTATAGAGTTTTAGTGAAAGCCGCTCTTCGGGGTCGTATTGATTGGTTGAAAGGTCTTAAAGAGAATGATGTTTTAGGGGGGATGATACTCGTTGGTACCGGATTCAAAAGATTAATGCACTCTTCACGGTCAAGGCAACATAACAAGATTACCCGGAGAAAAAAAATTATTCAAAGTAGAAATTAGAAATCTTTTGTTCCATCATAGAAAATTCTTTGATTTTTATCGTTTCAAAGAATTTATGTGATACATTATTAGAAATATAGGATTAAATGGTTCCTAAAAGCGGATTCGACTCAGCCCCTTAAAATCTTTATATGCAGTCATTTGATTTGGTAATAAAGTAGAATAAAAAATAATAATAAATAGAAATAAAAGAATGGCCTGATTCTATCTTAACGACCAATCGTCTATAAAAGAGAAGGTTCCATCAGAACAATTATTTATCGCTATTTCAGGATACTGGGTCTCTCTTTTTTTTTTAAAAAAGTGTGGGGATAAATGACAAAAAGATATTGGAACATCACTTTTGAAGAGATGATGGAAGCTGGGGTTCATTTTGGCCATGAGCCTAGGAAATGGAATCCTCGAATGGCACCTTTTATATCGGGAAAACGTAAAGGTATTCATATTACAAATCTTACTAAAACTGCTCGTTTTTTATCAGAAGCTTGTGATTTGGCTTTTGATGCAGCAAGCACAGGAAAACAATTTTTAATTGTTGGTACAAAAAAAAAGTAGCCGATTCAGTAACACGTCCTGCAATAAGAGCTCGATGTCATTATGTTAATAAAAAATGGCTCAGAGGTATGTTAACGAATTGGTATACTACAGAAACGAGACTTCGTGAGTTCAGGGACTTGAGAATGGAGCAAAAGATAGGGAAACTGAACTCTCTTCCAAAAAGAGATGCCACTATGTTGAAGAGACAATTATCTCATTTGGAAAGATATTTAGGCGGTATAAAATATATGACAAGATTACCTGATATTGTAATAATCCTTGATCAGCAAGAAGAATATACAACTCTTCAAGAATGTATCACTTTGGGAATTCCTCAATGATTTCTTTAATTGATACAAATTCTGACCCAGATCTTACAGATATTTCGATTCAGGCTAATGATGATGTTATAGCTTCCATCGGATTAATTCTTAAAAAATTAGTTTTTGCAATTTGTGAGGGTCATTCTAGCTATATACAAAAAAATTGATTAATAATAAGATAAATCAATTTTTAGATTTGGTTGGGCGTGCGGTCATAGATTTTTGGAATTGGTTATTATAGCATTACAAAATTGTGTAAAAAGAAATATTTTGTGATTAGTTAGGTATTCAAAATAGAAAATCAAAGTAAAATAAGGAAATGGTTGAATCAAAATAATTCCCTTTCAAGGTATATTTTTTTATTTTAGAGGACAGGGCAACATGAATGTTCTATTATGTTACATCAACATATTAAACAGATTCTATGATATATCTGCTGTGGAAGTAGGTCAACATTTCTATTGGCAAATAGGGGATTTTCAAGTGCATGCTCAAGTACTTATTACCTCTTGGGTTGTAATTGCTATCTTATTAATTTCAACCATTCTAGTTGTTAGAAATCCGCAAACTATTCCCACGTCTGGTCATAATTTTTTTGAATATGTCCTTGAATTCATTCGAGACGTGAGCAAAACTCAGATTGGGGAAGAATATGGTCCATGGGTTCCGTTTATTAGAACTCTATTTCTATTTATTTTTGTTTCGAATTGGTCAGGGGTCCTTTTGCCTTGGAAAATTATAAAGTTACCTCATGGAGAGTTAGCTGCACCCACAAAGGATATAAATACTACTATTGCATTAGCTTTACTTACGTCAGTAGGCTATTTCTATGTGGGTATTTCAAAAAAGGGATTGGCCTATTTTGGTAAATACATCCAACCAACGCCAATCCTTTTACCGATTAACATCTTAGAAGATTTCACAAAACCCTTATCGCTTAGTTTTCGACTTTTTGGAAATATATTAGCGGATGAATTAGTAGTTGTTGTTCTTGTTTTGTTAGTACCTTTAGTAGTTCCTATACCTGTTATGTTCCTTGGATTATTTACAAGTGGTATTCAAGCTCTTATTTTCGCTACTTTAGCTGCAGCGTATATAGGTGGATCCATGGAAGGGCATCATTGACTAGTTATCAAAATCGTGTTTTAGCCCGCAATAAAGTATGTGTGGCTCGCGATAATATACTTAAGGAATATTAATAAAAAAATACAAAGAAATTTTAAAAAGGTTTAATAACAATAAAAAAGTAGAAAGAAAATTAAAACAATTACCAGGGAATTGTAAAAAAAAATATATAGATTAATTAAATTAAAAAGGTTGAGAGGTCAAACTAGGTGTATATATAATTTAATCGTTATAAGACAGTTGGGGGATTTCCAAGAATGATTGATTGAATCTAAGATACAACTCATTGGTTTACGGTATGAAACAAACACATGTATATGTCATAGTAGATATTCATTAGTTATATATGACGATCTATCTAAATTTGTTCTGCTACTACTCTAAATTTAGGTAGGGATTCAAAAAAAAGATTCCATCTCTTGTAATTCTGAATTGAATATAAAAAATGACTAAAATAATGAAATCAAAGAGAGAAAAAAAGTTTGAAATGTAAGATAAGACCAAAAATTGTATGTATTCACAAAAAACTACAAGGGTAGAAACGAAAAAAGTGAATATCGAAGTAATTGGGATAATTCAATAAAAATTATTAAGTTTGAAATTTTGAATTACACTTCGACTAGATAAAGAGAAATATGAAGAATGAAATAATTAAGTCATAAATTTTTTGTTGATTATATTATTAACTATTTTTTTATTTTCTTTGGAATAGGAGAAACTTATCATGAATCCATTGATTGCTGCTGCTTCTGTTATCGCTACTGGGTTGGCCGTCGGGCTTGCTTCTATTGGACCTGGAGTTGGTCAAGGCACGGCTGCAGCGCAAGCTATAGAAGGGATTGCGAGACAACCGGAAGCAGAGGACAAAATACGGGGTACTTTATTACTTAGTCTGGCTTTTATGGAAGCTTTAACTATTTATGGGCTGGTTGTAGCATTAGCTCTTTTATTTGCCAATCCTTTTGTTTAATAAAAAAATACATCTTGTTTTTTCCATGGACTTTCGTTGCTGCTCTTGCTTGTTTTTTCATTCTATTTAGATTTTACTCCTACAATTTTTTCTTCATTCGGATTAACATACTGATTCGCCTTCTTCCGTCCCTTTTTTTAGTCCACTGACCCCTTTTTTGATTTAGAAAGTGTTAAAACCAACTAAGTATTTTGCAATTGACATAACAACTAGTATTTCCTTCTAAGAAGTATCATTCTTATAGGGACTCTTTCAATTGACTAACCAATTTTAGTATATTTTTATTCTTACTAATATACTAATTTTAGTAAGAATAAAAATATACTAATTTGATATATTCATATTAAATAATTAAAAAATTAGATTATAGAATAAACTATCATAAACAAATAAAAAAAACATGGAATCGTAGAAAGAAATTTTGTCTATCCATAAGAGGAGATGCGATCATATGAAAAATATAACCGATTCTTTTCTTTGCTTCATTTACTGGCCATCTGCCGGAAGTTTCGGGTTTCCTACCGATATTTTAGCAACAAATCTAATAAATCTAAGTGCAGTGCTAGGTGTATTGATTTTTTTTGGAAAGGGAGTGTGTGCAAGTTGATTATTTCAAAGAATAGATTGGATACAACCAACTGCACTTTTTTTATTATAACTAGGAAAATATGCATGATCTGGCGAATGACTTCTTACAAAATAACGAGAAAAAAAAAAGTTAAGAACCATAGCATTTCGCGATTCATTGGGAAATCTACTTTGATTCTCTATCAACCAAGAATTTTGGAACATTACCATGGTTAAAGCTAACCAGTTTGAAGTTTCGACGCAATCTAGTATTCTTTCTACCACTATGTTAATAGTGAAATTAGAATTTTTTTCGATATAGAACACTCATGTCGAAAAACTGACTTGAATTCTCTTTGTGATGGATGAAAAATAGGAAAAAGCTGTTGTGTTTAACGCCTCTGTTTCTACTTTTCTACAATGCAGAATTGATGACCTACGTATAAATTAATGAGAATTCTTTGGATTTCAAGAAAAAAACAACAACTTTGCTGACAATTATTTGTTTGGTCAGAAGAGTCCTCCAAATATTTGGGTCTTGTATTGATAATCATTTTCAAGATTTTTCGAAATAGAGAAAAGAGGATAGGCTCATTCCATAATAAATATGGGGAAATTTCCTATAAGGAATTGAGTGTGAGAGCCAAATGAATTGAAAGATTCATGTTTGGTTCGGGAAGAGATCATAGACATTTTGAAATGAATGGAAAGAGAATCTACTTTCATTAAGTGATTTATTAGATAATCGAAAACAGAGAATCTTGAGAACTATTCGAAATTCAGAAGAACTACGGGAAACAACCATTGAACAGCAGGAAAAAGCTCGGTCTCGTTTAAGGAAAGTAGAAATGGAAGCAGATCGGTTTCGAGTGAATGGTTATTCCGAGATAGAACGAGAAAAATTGAATTGAATTAATTCAATTTATACAACTTTGGAACAATTCGAAAATTACAAAAATGAAACCATTCATTTTGAACAACAAAGGGCAATTAATCAAGTGCAACAAAGGGTTTTACAACAAGCATTACAAGGAGCTTTGGGAACTTTGAATAGTTGCTTAAACAACGAGTTACATTTACGTCTGATCATTGCTAATATTGGTATGTTTGGGGCGATGAAAGAAAAAAACAACTGATTAGTTGTTCTACTATAATTGAGAGTATAGGCAGGCAGGCCTTCTTTTTGTTTTTCTTCGAAAAAGAATCAAATTTAAAAATATTCATGGTTACCATTCGTGCAGATGAAATTAGTAAAATTATCCGTGAACATATTGAGCAATATAATACCGAAGTAAAAATTGTAAATACAGGTACCGTACTTCAAGTAGGCGATGGCATTGCTCGTATTTATGGTCTTGATGAAGTAATGGCGGGTGAATTAGTAGAATTTGAAGAAAGTACAGTAGGCATTGCTTTGAATTTGGAATAAAAAAATGTTGGTGTTGTATTAATGGGTGATGGTTTAATGATACAAGAGGGAAGTTCCGTAAAAGCAACATGAAGAATTGCTCAGATATCGGTAAGTGAGGTTTATTTGGGTCGTGTTGTAAATGCCCTAGCTAAACTTATTGACGGTCGAGGAGAAATTTCAGCTTCGGAATCTCGGTTAATTGAATCTCCCGCTCCCGGTATTATTTCCAGACGGTCCGTGTAGGAGCCTCTTCAAACGGGACTTATTGCTATTGATTCTATGATCCCTATAGGGCATGGCCAGCGAGAATTGATTATTGGGGACAGACAAGCTGGTAAAACAGCAGTAGCTACAAATACGATTCTCAATCAACAGGGATAAAATGTAGTATGTGTTTATGTAGCTATTGGTCAAAAAGCATCTTCTGTGGCTCAAGTCGTAACTTATTTTCAAGAAAGAGGAGCAATGTAATACATTATTATAGTGGATGAAACAGCAAATTCCCCAGCTACATTACAATACCTCGCGCCTTATACAGGAGCAGCTCTGGCTGAATATTTTATGTACCGTGAACGCCACACTTTAATCATTTATGATGATTCCTCCAAACAAGCACAAGCTTATCGCCAAATGTCTCTTCTATTACGAAGGCCACCAGGTCGCAAAGCTTATCCCAGAGATGTTTTTTATTTACATTCGCGTCTTTTGGAAAGAGCCGCTAAATTAAGTTCTCAGTTAGGTGTTTCAGCTTATATTCCTACTAATGTAATTTCTATTACAGACGGCCAAATATTCTTATCTGCCGATTTATTCAATGCTGGGATCAGACCCGCAATTAATGTGGGTATTTCCGTTTCCAGAGTTGGATCGGTGGCTCAAATAAAAGCCATGAAACAAGTAGCTGGTAAATTAAAATTGGAATTGGCATAATTCGCAGAATTAGACGCTTTTGCACAATTCTCTTCAGATCTCGATAAAGCCACGCAAAATCAATTGGCAAGAGGTCAATGATTACGCAATTTTCTTAACCAATCCCAATCAGATCCTCTTACTGTGGAAGAATAGATAATAATTATTTATACTGAAACGAACGGTTATCTTGATTCATTAGAAATTGAACAGGTAAGGAAATTTCTCCTTGAGTTACGGGCTTATTTAAAAACGAATAAACCTAAATTCAATGAAATCATATCTTCTACCAAGACATTCACTGGGTAAGCAAAAGCCATTTTGAAGGAAGCTATTCAGGAACAGATGGAACTCTTTTTACTTCAGGAACAAGTAAAAAAAATTGATTAAAATTTTCATACCGTTAAAAAAATTCTATCATTAGTCTCTTAAAAAAAAGAATCATAAAGATAATAAATTCACAATATATTTTTAGAAATATACGAATTCAATTAATATATATGCAATTGCAATCAATTCAATATGTAATCAATTTGCGTCCAATAGGATTCGAACCTATACCAAAGATTTAGAAGACCTCTGTCCTATCCATTAGACAATGGACGCTTTTCTTTTTTTCTTTCCCTTTTCACGAAAATTTCGTGATAAGGGAAAGAATAAAGAATTCTATACTAAAACTAAATGAAGAAATTTACTAAATAAAAAATAGAATATAAGCGGGTAGCAGGAATCGAACCCGCATCGTTAGCTTGGAAGGCTAAGGGTTATAGTCGACGTTTATGAATGAACGTCTCTAATTCAAAAATGAACGTGGAACTTTTGTTTCATTCAGCTCCTTTACAGAATAATTTAAGAGATGGATGGAATACATGAAAAAAAAATCCATAACATCTATGTCAGCCTTTCGGTATGAATACAATTAACGTTGCTTTTTAGATGATCCCTATAGAAAAGGAGTATTCGAACAATCTCTTTTTTTCTAGTTACTTCGTTCTCTATTTCTATTTGAGAGAATCTTTAGGAAAAGAATAAAATTTTCGTCGAGCTAAAAAAATATGTTGATGTTTCTAGTAAACTAAAAAAATCATTTCATAGCTATTTTGCTTCAATCTCTCCTATACAAAACAAATAATAAAGAAATTGGAAGATTTAGTTACGATTGGAAACGAATTTTAAATATCTTTCTCCCTGGATCCTTTACTTATATTCAAAAATTGGGATTCTGGATCCAATTGCAAAAACTTATGTTTCATAATTTTAGAATCTATTCTAAATTGTATACAAATTATGATAATGTATATTATTCCTCGAATTGCTCCTTAAGAGGTATAAAGGATTAAATACCTTTAAGTAAGAAATAAAGTTTTTGATCGTGATATGAATCACGGAAGGGACCCCTTAACTATTACTATTAAAGGGTCGATAGAACGAATCGCACTTTTACCACTAAACTATACCCGCTACAATACTATTATTGTATATAAAAAGATCTTTTGTCAATATCAATACAGGAAGGGGAATCAGTCCTAATTATGAAATAGGTGCAGAATTTTATGATAAATACAATGTTCACATGTTTCGTAAAGGGCCCCCTAATGAAATTTAGAAAAGGGGGTGAATCTCACTTTTGGATTTTGTTGAAGGTACAGATAGATCTCGACAAAATTACTGAACGAAATTCATAAGACAAAAATGCATTGTGCAAGAATCCATAGTTATATTTCTTTTTTTAGATATTTTAACTGATCAAATTGTATGATATACGATCAAAAAGTTATTTTTATTTTTGTTTGATCGTATTAAAATGTTTTCCTTAATTACAAGTTTCTTTCAAATCTGATACAGAAAAATAAATCATTGTGATTCATGGGAAAAAAGAGCCGTGCCAGTACCTAGCTGGACTCTGGTTGGATAAAAAAACAAACTAAAAAAAAAAGAAAAGAAAAAATTTTATATTGCGTATATATAGAATATAACTTTAGTATAGGTATAAGAAAATATAACTAATATTTATGAGTTAATATGAAATTATGAATAGTAATTAAATAAAATGATAATCAAATAGAAAAAAGATAGATAGATAAGATATATCAAATGATGATCAATATCAAATAAGATATATATAAGGCTTTTTTGAGCCCTACTTTTTGTTCTTTTTGTTTATCCGAGGTATCATAAGCATAATAATTCAATTTTTTGAATTAGGGAGAGATGGCTGAGTGGACTAAAGCGTCGGATTGCTAATCCGTTGTACGGATTTTTGTACCGAGGGTTCGAATCCCTCTCTTTCCGTTTATTGATGATTTGGCCTTTTTTTCTTTTGAACTTCTAGAATTTCTTTTTTTTATTCCTTGTTTGTTTCATTTTTTACTAGTTAAAGATGTAAAATAGATAGAAAAACGAAAAATATTTAAAAATCCAGCATAAGTACGGAAAAGAAAAAAGATCTTCTTATTCTTCACGTCCAAGATTACGTCCTGGATCATTAGATAGGAATCCGAAGATGAAAAGAGAAACAAAGAATATCACTATTGTGTAAACGACAGAGAAAGAGAATAGATTCTCTTGTATTTCATATTATGTTTCCTTTGATACTCAGTTTATAATAAATGAAGTTATTTCAAAAAAACTAAAAAAATAGATTTGTAGTAAGAGTTGAGCCTTTGTTTTACCATTACCAACAATTCAATTTTCTTTCATATCCACAAGATCCACGTATTGGTGGTAGATTCAAATCGAATAATAGAATAATATAATTTTTATTTTTGAATGGAACAAAAGGAAATGATGAGATGATCCATATTTTTATTGTCTATCCAACAATTTTAAGATTTATAATCATGGATTCACACTGTAAGACTTATCTTATTTTTTAAAATGTTAAAATTTGAGTTTTCTAATAAATTTTGACTTTTTTTTCCGGACATTATTCAAATTAAAGATCTTATCAATTATTCAAATTAAAGATCTTATCAAAAACTTACAGCAGCTTGCCAAACAAAAGCTATGAGAAAAAAGAGTAAGGGTATTACTGGCATAAAATCTACAATTGGATTCAAAAAAGCGTAAGCTTCTGGTAATTTCTTTTCCATTGTATATTTCAAGTGGTATTTTTTGCTTCTTTTCCTATTTTTATCTATAAAAAGAATATATTTCATCTAGTTTCCTTATGTCCACTATAACCAGTTATTTCAGTTTTCTACTAGCGGTTTTAACTATAATTGTAGGTATTTTTATCAGTCTGAATAAGATACGACTTATTTGGTTTGCAATTTTGAGATAAATTTGGAAATTGTAGATATTCTATAGTTCCTTATCATATTTCTAATTCTTGGTCATTGAGATTCATGGTCAATATAAGTTCATATTTAAGGATCGATATTACCCCCACCTTTTTTACTTTCAACCAAACTCAAATGATTGAAGTTTTTCTATTTGGAATCGTGTTAGGTCTAATTCCTATTACTTTGGCTGGATTATTTGTAACGGCCTATTTACAATACCGACATGGCGATCAGTTGGATATTTGATTTAGTACTATCTCTTTTGTTTATTGACTTCCTACTTTTTTGTTTGAATCCTAATTCATAGGAGATCAAATTAACACTTTTGATTAGACTTAGACTGTTATCCCATTATTTTAGTCTCATTCTCAGAAGAGTGGTATCACGCTCTGTAGGATTTGAACCTACGACATCGGGTTTTGGAGACCTGCGTTCTATCAAACTGAACTAAGAGCGCTTTCTTTTCCTAAATAATTTGATGTGATGGCAATATATCTTGCATGCATGCATTCAAACTAAATATGGAGAACTATTCATATTGAGTACGTATGTCCAATTTCAATTGCTCAAAATTGATCTCTTGTTACTGCTGATATGATATTAGGGATAGGGATGACATGATTTGAACCTGTGACATTTTGTACCCAAAACAAACGCGCTACCACACTGCGCTACATCCTTTTACATCAGTTTCCATTATCATTCTAAAGAATTTTTGTCTTATTTTCCACATTTTTCCATTATCTATATCCTGCCATTTTGTTTGTTTTCTTACTTTCTTATATCGATCATAGAAATAAGATATCGAATCAAATATTCTTATAGAATATTTATATTCAATTAATGAAAAACAGAGAATATATAGAATCTATAAATAATAAGATAGAAAAAGTATAATAACAAGAACAAAGAATATACAAATAATATAGAAATTAGAATTGATATATGAAAAATAGAATAATTTCAAATATTATTTTAATATTTCATAGAATTCATAATTTCAAAAAATATATAATAATATAGTTATTAGAAGATAACAATTTGAATAAACAAAATAAGAATATAAAAATAGTACTCTATAAAAAAAAGATCTAATTCATTGTTGTACAATTCAAATTGGATTCAGACTTCCCCCGAGAAATCCAAGTGGTTTTATTAAGAAAAAAAACATTGGATCATATTCCTATATGTAATTCTGTATTATTATGTATTACAAATTACAAGAAAAAACGAAGGAGGATTTGAAATACGAGATCTAAAAACACATCTCTCTGTGGCACCAGTGGCAAGTACTTTATGGTTCGCGGCTCTAGCAGGTCTCTTGATAGAAATCAATCGTTTATTCCCGGATGCATTGACATTGCCTTTTTTTTATTATTCTAGTTATTGGCACGGGAAGGGGTGGCGAAGATTAGAGATCCAATAAAATATTTGTGATTAAATCCCTCTTCGTTCATTTTTTTTCTCCGAATTATACTAGAATAAGTTAAAAAAAAAAGAGGAAATTAAGAAAGGTGGATTTGGTCTCAGTGAAATTTGGAATTTTTCCCACGTTTCGTTTCAATGGAATTGAATTAATACTTCAATTCCATTGATATTCTTAATTATTAAGAGTAAGACCAGAAATGGAATTGTTAGGGTAGGGGCAATAATATCATACAAGATATTTCAATAAAACCTGAAATACTAGACTCTGGATTCGAAATCTATTTTGAAAGCATTGTAGTAGTGAATTATTACTGTACTATATAAAACTAATTGGAACAAAATATTTCATAATTTGATTTTGAATTATCAACTTATCTTTTTTTTCGTTCCTTTTTTCTTCTTCCCTTCGAATCTTAAAATCGAAGAGTTAAGTGAATAAAAAAACCAAAGGAGGTTTATGGCTAAGGGTAAAGATATCCGAATAAGTGTTATTTTAGAATGTACTAGTTGTGATAAAAAGAGTGTTAATAAGGAATATAGAGGTATTTCTCGATATATTACTCAAAAGAATCGACACAATACGCCTAGTCGATTGGAATTGAGAAAATCCTGTCCCTTTTGTTGCAAACATATGATTCACACAGAGATCAAGAAATAGAGAAAATGGATTACTTGTGT